TTTAAAAATTGTTAATTTTCGACATTTTCTCAAATTTTAATTACTTAAAACTGCCATAACTTTTTTAAAAATCACCAAATCAATATAATTTTTTTTCTATAGATGCATGATGTTTTTACTTATCATTTGGTATATTATTTTTATAAAACTAAACCTTTATCTGCCAACAGGGGAGGATTTAAAATATTTCACAAAATATTGACTTTCTCAACTTAACTTTTGAAAGTGTTCAGAAAATACTGACATTATTAACATTTTGAAAAATGTATAGATCATTATAATTTTTTAATGATAAATACTATTTATAGATTTATTTTATGTGACATACTTATTTATTAAATCGGACTATTTCCCTTAATAAAAGAGGGGTTCAAATCTAAAAATACATATGGAAAGTAGAACTTTTATAACTTAATTTTTGAAATAGTTCCGGAAATACTGACACTTTTATATGTATCTTAAATTAAATCTTATGTAATATTACTTAATATGAAAAAAATAATTCGAATTTTAGTTTGTTTTCATGGTGAAAACAGACATAAAAGTAATAAAAAAATACGGTTTCTTTAAAAAAAGTCTTTTTTATATATTTAACTTTATAATGCTACAAATTTTTGTAAAATGAATGGATCATTATAATTATTTTATGATAAATTCTATTTATATATCTCTTTCAGAAAACATATGTACAAACAATCTATGTTGATGAATAATTCATCTACTCCACAGTCAATTTTTTAAATTTAATTGTTTGATACTTAGCAATTATTATGTTATAAAAACTAAGCAAGTCAATTTAATCCACAATTAATTTTTCATTAAAGCTTTTGATAAGATAGTCAACTTTTCTGAATCCTAAATTTTCATAACAAGATTTGAAAACGTTTTCACAAAACTCGTCAAAATAATTGCATGCATAATATGAAGTACTCTTTGTACTTCCTGAATCCATGAAATGTTTTATTAATGTCGATTTTTCATAATAAGCATCTTTCATATTACAATGGATGTAAATGTTATTAAAATGGGAAATTGATTCAATATTAAATTGTTCAAGAAAATTTAGGAAATATTTTAATTTTTTGTCTATAATCTCCTCGGTCTTTTTAATATTTTTTTTATTGACAGCATTATCTTGAGAAAATTCTTTATTATTCAATAAACTAAGGAAATCTTCAATCCATTTTAATATTTTTTGTAAATTCGAATGTGACAAAAAAGTATAATTCCATAGAGATGATTTCTGTAAAGTAATCAAAGCTGTATGCAGACCTTCAAACATTATTTTAGATTTGTTGAATGAGTCAAATAATTTAATCAAACAATTGTAGTTGAATCGATTTACTTCTGTATTGCATAGATACAATATAACTTTTAATAACATATGGTAATTTTTAATTATTTCTGTGTATTTACATCTTAATAATTGTAATACATGTTCTTTTTTTATTTGAAAATTCATGTTATTAATCGGGTCTTTCATAATACATTCTACGCTAAATAGTTTTTCATTATAAACTATATTTATGTGATTCATTGGTTCCCAATTCGATTCTTGTTGAAGTATATTCAATGCTTTAATTGCCACATTTATATTAATATTTGGATCTACTGGAGGTATGAGTCTATATTAATAAAAATATTAAGATTATTAATAAAATTTGTAATATATATAAATTTAAATATTAATAAAANGATTATTAATAAAATAAATTTAAATGTTATTAATGAGACGTTCTTTTATTTCTATTTAGTTTAATTTAAAAAAAATGATTAAAATATATTTGTGTATTATAATATTAATATATTAAGGGAAACAAAGAATTTTGGAAAATAAATTTTTTATAGTATTTCTTTCATAGATTTCTATACGTTCGTTAACAATTTTGGAAATTTGATATGAATAAGTTTGTGCCCAATATTTGTTATAATCCCGCTAATAATGATTTAAAATGACAAATTGAATAATAATAAAATGTAATTTTTTTTTCATAAAATCAACTATTTTAAAAGAAAACATAAAATATTATATTATAATTTCTTTATTTCAATTATACATTCGGACTAATTTTGAAATTACGTTTGTGTTATACCCATTAAATTTGGCAATTTCTCTTATAACTCCCAGTTCGTCATCACAATTTATTTTATTCATAGGAATATTAACTCAATTTTAAATCATACTATTAAAATCTGCCAATTTGTTTTGCCAGCTGTGATTCGAAATGTACCTGAACGTGTTTGTATTTTTCCGATGAATTTCAAAATTTAGTTCCCCTTCTACTTTTTTAACATTTAATCCAAAAAAGGTATTTTCCCTCTACTTCCTGTTCATATGTGAATATAATCGATAGGTAAAACAAATTTAAATGTTGTATGAAGACCTCTGTACCTCTGTAAAATCTTTATTTATTACTGCAAAATTATAATTTACATAACTAACGCAAATTTTTGGAAAATACGTGTGTTTCAAATTTGATCATACAATTTATTTTGAAACTTAAAAACATTATAGCCCATACATAACTTTGTTAAATTAGTACGCTCATTTATTTTATCCTATTTTATGTTTTGTTCCTTTACCCAGTCTTTAAGAAAACCAATTGTTATAACTATCAGAATACTCAGAAATAATACTACTATGTTAAAAGAAATTAACCTATCGTTATTTTGATAATTATAACCAGATCATTTTTGAACTATGTAATAGCTAAGTAACTAAGTTTGTTCATTTTGTGGCCATAGCAAATTTACAAATTGTCGTAAAACAGACGTAAGTATGGTAATATTAGGAACTCTGCGCCCCCTCACCCCCCACTAACAATACTAGGTGTGGGAGAGGTAGCCATTCAAAATTGTTGTACTCTTCCTACGAAGCCATATAATGGACGATAGGGTAAACTAAAACTCCATGTTAACTGATAACGTCAACTGATAAACTGATTTAATATTAAATGTATGCATTACAATGAATAGTGCACGTTAAGTAAAGACCGCCGCCCCCACACATGTTCTTGACAACTCCTTTAACTTATTTACTTAATATTAACAGGGTTCTCTTTCTCCGTCAACAAGTCCTAATGAGGGAGGGGATAATGAAATTTAACATAAACTAACCTAATGGGAGAGGTGGGAATGGAGCCCAACATAAACTAACAACTTTTTCTAAGAATTTTATCATTGACTACCAGACGCTTAGGCAATCATATATTCAACATCAAAGATGTCACCATATATTAATGATCACTGTCGTATGCATTTTATTAGAAAAATGGCATCGTTGTTTTTTTTCACGCCTACGCATTTTATTATTTTATTATATAACCGGTTAAACGCTTTGTATCCTGTCACATACGTGTTTAATTGACGTTAACGTACAGTTGATTTTTTGAAAACTAAAAATGTATCATTTTAATATTTATACACGCGCAAATAAAAAATCATGAACCAGCAATCGTCTTCTACACAAGGTATGTAGATTTTTACAATTATTAACATTTTTTATTTTAATATAATTTTATAATTTAAATTTTACCAATCCTACTTTTTTTTTTTTATTACAATAAATAAATTATTTATTTTTTATTTTTTTATTAAAGCTACCTCGTTTACATCAACAACAGCGAGATTAGATCAAAAATGTTCCGTATGCAATTGGTTTTATTGGAAGAACGTAGAAAATTTCGTGAGCTAAACGTCATTAAAGCCGAGCTGGTCGCCAGACTCGCTGAAATCGTTGGTAACCGTCCGATCAAGTACAATCTCAAATTGGAGGCCTCATACCATATGTCGTGATTGGAAGTACCACCCGAGGATCGTGCCTTCAAAACACGCGCTAGGGCATTGTATACGGTACGGATGTATAGTCGATGAAGATTTTGAGGTTATGCTCGCCTAGAAAGACTCGTACTCGGGGAGGGGTAGCAGTTTTACTTTATCACATATCAACAGCCTAATGCTCAGCGTATACAAGTATACGCCCCTCGTTAGCTCATCATATATATCTGCCCCACCAGAAATTAATCAGAGAAAAGCAATCATCGATGAGCAGAATATTGATGAGTCTTGTTTCAAGTGGTCCATTTTGGCGAGACATGTTAACGAAAAATATTTTAACAATAGGTAAAAGCGTAACGGTTACCGTTTATCATCTACGCCGATTTTGAGGCCTTACTGGAGCAAACAGATGATCGTATGAATGCATACACCAGGACAATGCACACACACCATCCCATGAGCTACGGGTTCATGATGAAAACATCGAACAATATGCCCTCCGAGCTCCTCGGACGCTGCGGTATACCACAATCACTGGTGATATACCGTGATTCCGAAGATCGCGAATTTCTACATTTTTAAGCAAAACCAACGTACACATCTGAATGTCAGTCTATGATGTGCATAGGCTAGGGGTGAAAACGGTATGTGACTTGTTCCGCAATGAATTCAAGGAATCCAACCCTAAAGCGGGCCATACACTATGCATTTTGAATGACAGTCTTCTTGATTGGCAGTCAAGACTGACTGTGTATTAATAAGAATGATGTAGATTGACAACCAAATTTTTTGATTGACGAATTTCAGTCATGTTTGATTTTTTGTTGTCATTCGAGTAGATTGGCACTCCTGAATGATAGTGTATAGGATTGATTGATGACTTATCAGTCAAAAACCGGCATGTCCACGTGTAAGTGTGCGACGAGCAATTTTTCAATTTTTTATAAAAACTGTCATTCTTGGTTGTATGTGTATGGCAATCTTCAGTCATCAATCGAACTATCATTCATTACGATTGCCATTCTTTGATTGATAGTGTATGGCCCGCTTAAAGTCGTAGAATCCCCAATATTATCCTACTGGCTTAAGTTATAAATGTAAATTTCTTACATTATCAAATAATATATTATAAGTAATATATTATAATACATATATAAGTTATTTATGTTTTAATATAAAATTAGAATAGAAATTGTGTAGAAATATAATTTGGGCATTCTTACTCAGGTATTTTAGAATTGAGAAATAGATCAAAGCCAAGATTTTCATACCAGATTTTTATGCTTTCATTATAAAACGATTTAAGTTTATAACAAGTTAAATTGACTAAATATAAGTCATCTTCATTAATTTGAATTGTTGTCGAATTGTTTTTTATAGAAATGTCGATGACATTACTATTTTGATAGAGATTGTTTATTAGTTTTGATGCTACTGTTTGAAATTCATATAAACTCTTAAAATTAATTTCAGAGTCATGAAAATTTGGTAAGCAGTTCAGATCAAAATGTCTGTTAAGATCTAAATGGCTGTTCTCTGATATTTTTTGAAGTACGTATTTTAGAAAAAAGTTAATTTCGTCAATGATAACATTCGGCATAATTGCTCCATGAAACAAAAATCTGACATCTATGTAGCTTATAAACGCCATAGCATTGTAAAGATTTTCAAACATAGTCTTTGAATTTTTCACTTCTTCTATAAGTGATGTTACACAACAAATAAATTTTTCTTCTAAATTTCTTTCATGAAATTGCTTACACTTTTGTAGAATAATATCTATGTAATCAAGAAAATTTTTTAGTATTTCAGTATACTTGAAATTTAGTAGACTTATTGTATAAAAATAGTTATTTTTGAAATTATTGTAGTTTTTTTCGAGTTTGAAAGCTTCCATTACACTGATAGTATTAATTGAATCATCTTTAAATTTTAGATATAGCATTTCATTTAATCCAATATTTGAACGAATATGGCCAACCACTGTTTTGATATAATTTTTGTAATCCTCGCGGTATTTGTTAAATCGTCTACAATTGCAATTTATTCCTTCATCTGGTTTCTTAGCGAAAACGACAATAGACATTATTAAAATCAACGAATAAAATTCCATTGTAAATAAAATACTAATATTAATTATAACTAGTAAAGAACTAAAGAAAATTTAAAGTGAATATAGGCAAATGTGTTCATTAGTATTTTATATTATAAATATGTTAATAAAAAAATATGTATAAAGAATACAAATCTTTTTTTATGGCATTAAAAAAATTATAGCGATATATTTATATTTTACAAATAACTTTTACAGGATATGTCAATTATATTTTTATGTGACCTATAATATATTAATAAATTTTTTCTTCAATTACTGTGTTTATTATATTAGTTGTTTACAAGAACATTTTAAAATATACTATGGTATATTATTTAATTACCATTGTAATTTATTTAAATTACCCATATGTTATATATAAAATAGAAAATGGTTGGCTAACATATTTAGAACTGTATTAGTACTTCATACTAACTTTTTTTTTATTGCTGTTTTTTGAACAAACTGAAATGCCGCTTCAGAATTTCAAAAAAATTTTGATCAACCTGTAAGTTTTATTATTTGTTTTCTATAAAAAATTGTGAATATCAAATTATCTGTATTTGATTAAAACGGTTTAATGCGTTTCAATTAAAAATATGCTATTTTGTAGAAAATGCTCAAAAATTTATCAAATTTAAACTTATTATTTTAATATTGGTTGAACGAATGACGCAACAGAATAATGCGTAATGATAAAAATAACATAGCCCACACTTTACCTCCACTCTATATTTTAAAATAGATATATAGCTTTTTTTTTCAATTTGTTAATTTTTCATTTTATAAACTAAGTATTATATTATTAAAAATTTTTCTTTGTTTCCCGCAAATGGGGGAGATATCCAAAAAATTACAATTTTTAAAATCTATAAACTTTGTCATTTTTTTCATTTTTTTTATTAAAACTTTCATAACTTTTTCAAAAATCAACAAATCAACATAAATTTTTTTTATATTACAACCTTCGATATTTTTCTTAAATTTGATATCATTTTTTTGAAAATCTAACCCTTGACCTGCTCACAGGGAGGGATTTTAAATAGCAACTTTTTTACGTAAACTAACTTTTTCCACTTAATTTTTGGAAATGTTCCGGAAATATTGCGTCCTTTAAACATATACCAAATGAAATCTTATGTCATATACTATAAAATTAAAAAAAAAAATTGTCCCGACATCGAATCTTCTGCATGCAAACGGTTGCCGTAGTTAAAAATGGTATATTTGTGTTAAAATTTTGGATTTTAAATTTTCAACTTAAAAATGCTATAACTTTTCGAAAAATGTGCGTATCAGCACAAATTTTTTTTTCTAAATACATTATAAATACATCTTTCTTTTAACATACTTTTTATTAAAATTGGACAATTTCCCCTTATATAGAGGGCGTTCAAAACTTGAAACATTGTATTAAACATAGAACATTTTCAACTGAACTTTTGAAAATGTTCCGGAAATACTGCGTCCTTTAAACATATACCAAATAAAAGCTTATGTCATTTACTATAAAATTAAAAAAAAAATTTGTCCCGACGACTTATTTTCTATTAGAAAATAGCAGTCGAATTTAACGAAAAATGTAAATTGTATGTAAAAATCACTGTTTAACATGAAAAATTTTAATATGTAAAACTGCCTTAACTTTTTCAAAAATTAACAAATCAACATAATTTTTTTTTATTTGGAACCTTAGATATTTTTCTTTCATTTAATATCACTTTTTTAAAAACTAACACTTAACCTGCTTACAGAGGGCTTTTAAAAAAGCAATTTTTGCACACAAGTTAAGGTTTTTCAATTTAATTTTTGAAAATGTTCCTGAAATATTAACACTTTTATTTAATCTAAAATTAAGCTTATATTATATACTTTACTATGAAAAAATCAAAATTGAAGTATAAATTTTCTTTTTGGTGAAAATGGCTACCATATTCAAAAATATTCTATTCTTGTGTTAAAAATTCTGGGTTTTGTAATTCATTTTATTTTAAAACATCTTACAAGGGGAATAGTTTGACTTTCATGAATATTATATAATTTAATTGGCATAGAATAAAGTTAATAAGACATAATAAGTTAAACTTATTTTAATTTTTTTGCATTTTTAAAATCTACTATTCAGTCAAAACCTTAATTTGTTTATAACTACTGAAATACTAGTCGAAAAGTTGTTATCGACCAGTAATTTTTTATTAAATAAACTATTTAATTATGTACTTTGCCATTTAAAAAAATTAGTTATTTATTTATGAACTTTACTTTTTCATTTTATTTTTTAAGGTACATAATTAACTAGTTTATTTAATAGACAATGAAGTAATTGAAAAAGTACAGGTTGATAACAATTTTTGGATAGAACAGCTTAACTATGTAATAAAGACTAAGTCGATAAATAATCCATCCGATACAAAATAAATGGGATAAATTTTCTAGTTTAGCTATCGAGACAGCCAACTTTCCTGCAAACCAATTTCTTAAAAGTCGACAAATTTGACTTGGAACCGCACCCTACTCTAGACTCGTGTCCCCCTATTAAAATGACTATCAGTGATCATCGTACATTTCCCCGCCCTTGATGCGTTCTGTTTCGTTCCAACGATCACCCCGACCGTTACGAGTGTTTTTATGCGAACTAACCGTCTCATTATTCATTTTCTTTTTTTGATTATTCATTGTGCGGCAATTTAACGTTTTACCAGGTTTTATTGCAATCGCTTTTTTTTCCTTTTTTGTTGTTTCATTGAAAAATTAGTGTACGTGACTTAATTATACGCATATATATATATATATATATTTAATCATACTTATATCCAGGCACGTATTCAGAATCAATTTTCGGGGGGATTTAAAATTTTTAAGACATAAAAATAATTTGAATGCACATTACAAAAAAGTACGTAATTATATAATTATAAAATGAAAATATTTTACTGTACTAAATATATAATAATTAAAACTTTTATTACATTGTAACTAATAAAACAAAAAATTTTAATTATAGAAAAAAGTCAACCTTGCGTGGCATTTTGTAAAATGTATTGATAATTTCTTCAATATTTATTGGAATGTTTCGGTGACCTGATAATAAAGCTAAACCTGTTAGACGATCTTCACCGTAGTTATTCCTCAAATACGTTTTCAATAGATTCAAAGTTGAAAATGAACGTTCTGCTGAAGAAGTGGACACTGGGAGTGTTGCAAGTATTGATATTAAACACCAAATGATTGGATAAAGGTCTTTTGACATAACGTCTAAAGTATCGATTGCTAATTTCGGTAATTCTTTATAGGGTACAGCTTTCCATTTTTTCATCCAGACCTTCAATTCTGATTCAAATGTTTCATAAGCAGATAAATAGCTTTTGTAAAAATCGATGCATTTTTTAAAGTCATCACAACTTGGATCTAATTTTAAAAAAAAATTTGGAATCAAGTTTTGCAAACCATATATAATGTAATTATGTTTTATAAATCTTTCAATTAATTGACTTTTGAATAAGTCTAAAAATGCAATCAAATTGACGTCCTATAATATTGTTCAGGTGAATCAGTTAACTAAGTATTATTACGATGTATAAAGTGCTTAATTACTCGTGGTATTTTAACTATTTTTTCTACTAAGCTCAATACGTTTTCTTCTTCTAAAAATAATTTATGGAATTCTACCTCACTATTTTCACGAATAGAATGAATAACTTGAACACAGTTTTTGACATATTCACAACACTCAGATAAATCTACATTTATTTTTTGTAGAGATTTACAAAGAGACAATGTTATTGTAAATAATTTTTCTGTAACGTAAAATGATATTGAACTTGAGGTAATAGTTTTTGAAAGTTGAAATGCAAGTTGTGATGTTTCTAAATTATAATGATGTTCGAGTTCATTTAATGTGTTTATAATTGGTAAATATAGTTCCTTTAACCGTAACAAGCTATCATGACGTTCAATCCAGCGGGTTTCACACATTTTTATAGGCGTTTCGTGACGTGTGTCTGGAATTATTTCTTTAATAAATTTTTTAAGAACTTCTGACCTTATTGGAGATTTTCGAAAGAATGAAGTAATAGAAGTTATAGATCCAATACAATTTCTATTATCTAAATTCTATCTAAATTGATGCGTCGTAAATAGGAACAAAAGTTAAACAATTTTCCCTAATGCGACAATCTTCAATGTAACTTACACACAGCGACATTTGTTCTATTCGTGATATATCGCAAGTTTTGTCTACTATAATTGAAAAAAAGCCGCAATTTTAACGTTGGTTACTATCTGAGTCTAAATGAATGTACCACAAATATTTATTAACTAGTTTTGTATAATAGGACTTACGTAAACAGCATTTGCTGCCGCATTTTCTAAATGAGCTTTCAGATTGAGATCTCCAGATTACACTCTAAATCTTAACAATGATCTAAAATTTCCATCATTGTTATCAATACTGGAGCTAAGAATATGTCCACTTTCATTATATCTCCTTAATGCTAATTCTTGACGACCACAAAAAATAATTGTTTTGGTGATTGGAACCAGTTTAGCATGATTTGCTAGAACTAAGTTTTTATGAGCTGAATCGATAATTATAGAAAAATTGGGTTTTTTCCAATCCATTACTTTTAAAAATTCAGCCATACGTAAAATAGACAATTTATGGTATTCTGCATTAGAATGCAATTTAAATTATTCTAAAGCATCTTTCCATTTAATAAAAGGTTTACCTACTAAAGCACTTTTTGATTAGAACCTTTTCCAATGCATTCATTAGAAAATAATACACATATTTTACATAATGCTCCTTCTAATTTCGGAGAATAAGTTAATCAATGAAACCGTGTTAACCATGACATTTAGAATTTCAATTTTCTTTTTGATACCACTGAAAAATTATAATTTGTTGAAGGCACCCATGGATTTTTTATTAATTCATACTTAAATTTATCATCAGTTATTCTATCATCTACATACCGTCCAATATCTCGAAGTTCTAGTAATTCTTCTGGTAGTTCTGGTGGTTTTGTAATGGAAGTAACTGAATCTGAATTTAATTGATTGTTTTTCTTATGAAAAAAAATTAAAAATCGATGACTGAGATGGCATACTTCGTTTAATTTTT